TCTTCTTCTTCTTCTTCTTCTTCTTCTTCTTCTTCTTCTTCTTCTTCCGCCATTTCTGATTTTTCCTCCATATTCTCTATATTCAGTTCCCAGTTCTGGAGATTCTCCTGGACTCCCGAAGAGCAGGTGGCAGTCACGGCTAGGAGAGGGTCTGTAAGTCTTTGGGTTAGTTGGCCACTTTGGCAAATAAATTTAATAAATAACTAAATGTACTAAACAAACAAACAAACGTGGTATTACACCTGATTAAAAGCGTGGTTCCTTCCACCTCTGGGCGTTTCTAGCGTTTATACCTGTCGGATTTGCCTATTTGGGGAATTCTTTCTTTTTGGAGATTGCAACTGATCCCAATCAGGAAGGATTTCACTTTTTTCCCTCTTTCAGGATCCCTTTTAATTTCTTGCTGCAATTTACTTTGGAAGATGACTCAAAACAAAGAATTATTTTCAGGAATGAAAAGGGATCCTGGCCTGAACTAACCAACTTGGTCTCCTGTTCCGGTCCCTCCTGTGCCTCTCATGTGCCTCCTTCTCTTCCTTCCCTCCAGCCAAGCCCACTGTCACCATCTCCCCCACCAAGATGGATCCCGCTTCCCCCAACACCATCCTCATCTGCACCGCCAGGGGCTTTTACCCCCTGGAGATCGAGATCCAGTGGCTGAAGAATGGGAAGCTGGAGGAGGAGGGCGTGGCCTTCGGGGAGGAGCTCCAGAATGGAGACTGGACCTACCAGCTCCAAGTGATGCTAGAGACCCAGCCCCAGCGGGGGGACGTCTACACTTGCCAGGTGGGGCATGTCAGCCTGGAGGCCCCCATCACCGTCCAGTGGGGTAAGCCCCTCCCCTCCTGCCCTGAGAAGGGGGAGAGAACCTCCCTGTGGGGGGAGCCGAATGGACCCTCCTGGGGGATGGTGGGCCTGATCCTCCTGCTCAGGTGAGGCTCCTTCTCCTTCCCCAGAGCCCCGTTCCTCCAGCTCTGCCAGGAGCAAACTCTGGACAGGGATCATGGGGGCCGTGATAGGACTGACGTTCCTGGCTGTGGGGCTCTTCTCCTACCTGAAGAGCAAGAAAGGTGAGTCTGGGGGGCTGGAGGAGAGGTTGTGGGAGGGGACCATCTAGGGGAGGACTCTCATCGCGCTCAGCAGGTGGCCAAAAGGGTCTCCTTGAGGAATAGTTTTGGGAACTTCTGTTCATCAAGGGGGCTATAAGGAAAGATCGTCCAACCTATTGTGGGCTATCAGTGGGGAGGGGGACCCCCTGAGTCCTCCAGCCCATGAAGGATCCTGATTGACTCTTTTTCCCCTTCCAGCCACTCCCATCCAACCTCCTGCAGGTGAGTTTCTCCTCTTCCTCCCTCATCTCAGCCCCTCCTACAAGTTATAAGTGTTTTTTTAAATATTTTTTTAAAATATCTCCTTTCTGTGGATTCAGCAAATTTTTGGATTTGGGGCAGCTTTTCCTTACAGAGATCAGAAAAAATATTGCAATCAAAAAGAAAAGTACACAGAAATGCTAAAATCTTGCACAGAATTTTTCCAAGTTTTGGGAAATTGCAAAAGGGAAGGGAAGGAGGACCTCAGGTTTACATTCCCCCCCCCAATAGTTTGTAAGCAATCCACCCATCCTTTTAGGCTCACTGTGGAGCGGGGTTCCTGAGGGGATTCAGGCAAATTCCACCCCTGTGGCTATTTTAAAAGGGGTGAGTCCCATGTTAATATGCACTTTGGTATTTTGGGCCACTTCAGCAAATGGCAGATCTTCCCAGCTAGATTGCTGATAATTAACACAGCATCTCAGCTATTGTTCTATAATAGCGTTAGCTCGTTCTGCAGCTCCGTCCGTACTCGGATGGAGGGTGGAGCTAAGCCCTTGAGAATGATGACCCTATCACCTTCATGACCTCCCTCCAAAACTCCACTGTGAACTGGACCCCTTCCTCCCCCCCCCCCAGTCCCAGATGATCCTTCTTGGCTCTCCATGGAGACTCATTTGGGTTCACTAGTCAGAACTTTGACAGGCTGTTCTTCCTGACCCCGTTTCTCCTTGTGGGAATTCACAGAATTTCTGGCTAAGTGACTCCTAGGCTCCTCCCTTTTCTTCAACCCCCATCCTGGCCCCATGTCCTTTGCTCATAGGAAACGTCTGCAGGGGGGAGGGAGGGGGGTCTCTCCTCTTGATTAACCCTCCAATTAAGAGAAATGGGGATAATCCCAGAATCCCCTGGAGATGAATTGGGGAGGAATCCCTGGTCCTTCCCAGCCTTTTCCTCCCTGAAATGGGCAGATTCTCCCTCTATTTGTCCCTGCCTGTCAATCACCCCCCTGCAGTGTGGGCCTGCCTTGGGGTTGGGTGGGCTGAAAGGGAAGAAAAAAATGTTATTTACACAAAAAATGTCTCTTTATATTCTAATTTTCTTCCCCTTCTCTTTTTCTGCAGCCCTCATGAATTAATCCTGCTCTCTGATGCAAAGGATATTTTTTTCTTTAGTAGCTGATGATTCTTTGTCCTGTTTGCAACCTCTGAGAAATGGAGGCTGAAGGTGGCAGGTTGGGGGGAGGAAGAGGATGGTAGCTTCCTATGGGGGCCTCCTTTTCTTGCGAGGGAGGGGTGGAGACCCTCTAGATTGTCCCCTGGGATGCTGGGCCGACCTGTCCCTCTAGCCCCTTCATCTCTCCTGGCTTTGAACCCACAGCAGCTTCATCTACATTTTTCTTCTGATGAATCACTTCCCTTCCCTTCGCTTTGCTATGAAAGAATAAACTTTAGAAGCAGTAAACCCTGGACTCCTTCCTTCCTCTTTGCCGCCCCCACAGGAGGCTCCTCCTTCTGCTGCCTCTGGATCCCAGCTCCTTTGAGGGTCCGAAGACATAACTGGTTCGGGAGGATGGTGGGCAGATCCGGGGAGGGGAAGGACCCCCCTCCTGCTCAGAGGCCTCTTTGCTCTGCTTCCTCTCAAGCCCCCTTTGGAGGAGCAGAATGCCAGCAGGCAGGGTCTTCCCTGAACGTTTGTGGGGAGCCATTGGGGGGCACCTGAGACCCCCCTACATTCACCCGGCCATTTCAGCCTTTTATCTCCCTCACAACTGGAGGAAGATCCTGCCCCATTTTGGTACCCCACACCCCCCTCCCTCCCTCTTTTGGGCTCAGATTCAAATGGTATAGACTAGACCCTGAGTAGAAGACCCCTCCCTTCTCCCCAACATCTCTAATGCCCCTAGGTAGCCCTCCAATTGAGCCTCGCCCCCTCCAGAGGTCATCCAGACTAGCTCTGCAGGACTCCAGCTAGATCTCTAAGGGCAGAATTTCCCCCTCCCAATTCCTCATCTGGGGTCTTGGGGCCACCACAGGAAGAATCGGTGTGTGGTTGGAGTAATTGTCTCAAACACGGGGAAGATTTGGGCTCCTGTTGGCAAAAATCTCCCTTGGAAGACAGCGTGCAAGAACTTGGAGAAGGGACAACACCAAATGTATCAATGATAAAAAAAAAATTCAGGTTTCCTTAACAAAGGCATTGTTGCTGATAGATGCTTCATTGATCATGGGAACTGAACTAGCGAATTTTTAGAGAATCAAGCAAGGGTGGTTGGCTGTTTCCCAGGAGCAGCTTTCAAAGAGGCGACTGAGGGGCTTCCAGAAATAATGACGTCCATAGATTCTTCTTATCCCTTTTCCCTCTTTCATGTGGGGAGGAATGAAAAAGTCCCTGGAAACTTCCGGTGGGCCAGAGGACCTTGTGGCTGCCCCATCTGGAGACTCAGTCATGGGGTGGAGGAGGACAATAGTCGTAGCAGCTCCTTCCGGTCTCCCGCCCCTCCAACCCCCCTTCCTACTGTGGGTCAGAAGGACCCCCTTTTCCTCGCAAACCGCCCCGAACGGAGACCCCGGAGTGAAGTTTGGCCGTTTCTCCTCCGCTTCCCGCTCCTTTCCTTGGAGAACTCCAGCAGGGGTTCTAGTCATTAGATGACCTCCAGGGTCCCTCCCAACTCTGTTAATCTGCTATCTGGCCACTATCTCAAGCTGACTAAGAATCCATGTACTTTTTTCTGCAGAAAAACAACATACATATAAAGTAAAACATAAAACATGTTGGAAGGAATTTCGTCCGTATCGAAGGGCGGATCCGGAGCTTTTTCCCTGGGAATGTCCGCCTCTTTCGGCCGTGGAGCAGGAAGCGCCCCTGAACCAAAAGGCTCCTTTTTATTCCCTTTTCACTCCCGAGACTCTCGGAGGAAGGAAACGCAGTCCCCCCAAAAAGCCCCCCCTTCTCCGCCCCCCAAAAGGAACCGAGGAACCCAGAAAAGAAACCCAGGAGCCGCTGGAGGTGAAGAGGGGGGAAAAGCCGCCATCTCAGATGTTCCCCCCCTCGAGGCTGCCGGACAAGAGCCGCAAAGCAAAGCGGCGCCTGGCTGGGCTTGGAGGGCAGGAGAAACTTCGGCTCTCGCCTCGGAAGCCTGGATGGCCGCAGCGGTTGCCAGAGGCGGCGGCGGAGATCCGGGTTGCGGAGAGAAGAAGTGCCTTTCTCTGAGGGGAACCCCAGGAAGCCGCGACTTCAGCCCTGACCAAAAGGAGCCTCTGGATCACCAGATGCGACGAAAACGGCAGGAAAATCCGTGGCTCGCCCGGCTCCTTTCCCGGCTGCCCCAGGAGAGGATTTGGGGGCTGCCCCAGAGGAGAGAGAGGGGGCCAAGCTCCCCTCCGAAGCCCTGGAAGACAAGCAACGGGTGGAGACTCTCCGCGGAGAGAGAAGCGCCGGAGAACTGGAGAGAAACTTCCTGACAGGGAGGACAATCAGCCGGTGGGACTCCTGGCCACCAGAAGTTGTGGGCGCTTCGTCACTGGAGGCCCTGAAGAAGAGA